TCTATCTATCTATCTATCTATCTATCTATCTATCTATCTATCTATCTCCTCTTTTGTCATGTTGAGAAACTTACACATGTTTTTTTCTTCTCACAGCTTACAGCACAGAACTCTTTTTTTCAGTGTTTTTGAGTCAGTAGCTTCTTATTTCGGTGCTAACTAACCCCATTATGCGTCAGAGACTTATTTAGACACAAGAAGACACTGGACCCGGTGACTAAGGACTGTTCAGAGGCACAAAACACCTAAAGACAATGTCACATGACCTGTTTTATTATGTCGGAATTGAATTTGCCACTAACCCGTGCATTTGTTTGCCTTTTCAGCATTTTGACAAACCAAAGGCCACCAAGCAATTCCTATTTGCAATACGCTAACAAGGCAGATGTAAACAGGGAAAAACATGATATCTGGATGGTTGTAACTGTTGGTGTTCCATTCATGGTGTGCAGATCAACAGTGGTCCATGTGGATGGGACATAAATCTATAAACAAGCCCGCTTTAGTAGATCCCCTCAGGATATTTAGAGTGTATTTCAGATAGGATACAGCGCTGCCTCTGGGGTGCTCTGTCAAGGGGGCCTCTTATACATCAGTTGTGCTGATGAGCATTGTCTTTAATGATCATCTCCTCCATCTGTGTTGCTGGCAGATACCCGTCCAGCTCCCTCTGGAAGGATCCACTGGCCAACAGCCATTTGGGAAGTACTCTAACTATACACCGAGGCCCAGAAACATTATAGACACCGAGGGCCTGCCTGTAAAACAAAAAAAAAACCAAAAACTCCACAGAGTCGCTAACCCAGACTCTGACTTCTGCATATAATGTTCCAGACTTATTTCTGGGAGTCGCTGTGGCTGCTAAGAGTTGCTGCTCTGTGCACTTTTTACTGACTGGTCGCTCGGTGATATCAAGGAAACCTCCAAATACGGTATAAACCTGAAGGCATCACTGTATTTGAAAGCCAGAAAGGGATGGATAACTGACCCCTTACTGTAAAGACGTTTGTGCCCCTGATCACTTATAGTGGACTGGTTTTAACAGACTGTGGAAAATGTTTAAGTTATGCATAGTTTAAAAGATGTTGGAAAGTTTGTTTTATCCCGAACTAAGTCAAACCCTACTTAACTGTTCTACAACCTTTTACTGGAAATGTTATATGATGCAGGTCATTGTGTTTCTCATGTCTTTGGCTTAATCTTTTTTTTTATCACAGCAATTTCTATAAGTAACATTATCATGAATGCAAATTGATCAGGTATAAATGTGAAGTATGTGTGAAAGGAGCAAATGGCCTAGGTTAATCCCGACTTGTATTCTTGTTCCTCGCAGTGATTTCCTCGTGCCCGACTACCTGAGCCAGGTACAAGAGGAGGAGGAGGCTCTGGGAGTCCAGTATGAGCTGGAGGAGACCCAACACCACCCGGTCTACTCGGGCGCCCCCCCCTCAACCACCTCCACCCTCGCCTCTTCCTCCTCCTCCTCAGTCCAGATGCCCGTCATCTCCCAGGTCTCCTCCTCCACCCAGCATTGCGAGAGTTCCTCCGGCTTCCTCTCACCCGAACCCCTGGAAGCCCCGACCCCCCTCAAGACGGATTCCGACGAGACGGCCGTAATCACGGAGGAGAGCAAAATGGACGACCAAGTCGGAGGCAGTTCCCCAGAGGAGTTCGAAGAGGAGCAGCAGCAGGAACATGCTCAGGCCAACGAGGTGGCTTCCATAACCATAGAGTGATATCAAGTCTTCTACCGACCCATTCTGTCTTATTTTTGCAGTCATGTCATATGAAAAAAAAGATGGGAAGGACGAAAGGGAGGACTGGGACACATGATTCTGATTCTGATGAACATTGTGGACACATCGAAACATGGAACCATGAAGAAGCCGTGATTGGATGTTTTCTGAAGAACTCTTTTTTGGCTTCAGGGTATTTTAAACAGCAAAAAACGAAGCACTTAACTCGAGTTGATGTTTCACACCAGATATCGCTCAGTCCGCTGGTCCTGGGCTCAAAACAGTGGTACTACCTGGACTTTACAGTTACAAGTTTGTTTGTTTTTTTTTTTGGTCATTTTTTTTGTAGGAAAGTTGTCTTTTCTTATATGGCACGACTGCAACACTAACTAAAGTTATTTCTATCTCTCGCCAATTTGAGGTCTGTCAATTCCAAGCCTTGTTCTCCTTTTGGAAAGTGCCTGTGAGCTCAAGCTTAAAGTAAGACATAGAAGAAGATAACTTGACTTTGGCAAAAGTGACAGGTCAAGTCAAGTAGAGCTTAAAAAAAAGCCCTCGTAGTTCATTTGTAAAGCCGGTTTGTATGGGCAGAGACTGTGTATTCATTTGGTGCCGTTGCTATTGGCAAACTGTTAAATGTTGATATTATCTATTCTGCAAAAGCCTAGACTGTAGTTCTGTTTGAATGCTGTGTATGTTGGGTTTTGTAAAGTGTGTGTCAGATGTGTGTGTGTGCATTTCTTTAATCAGTATGAACACAGTACATTTCATTTTTGAATATTTAAAAACTTGAAATATGTTGACAAAGTATTCCCTAAAGACATTTGTGTGGTATATGATTTTTTCCTGACCTTTTTCTTTATCATTATGCACATTTTTAAATGAACATTCTTGTTCTTTTTCAAAACCCAACTTTCACCAACACTTTTTGACAAGATAATCTAACTAAATGTCAGAATAAAATAGAAATCTATGTTTAGTGAACAAAAAAAAATCTAATTTAAAGTTTAAAGGTTGCAGCGTTGTCTCAGATATATGTATATGTAGCATTTCATTCCAGTTGAAGTTCAGCCTGCTTGGCCGATAGCAGTTTTTTTAAATTTGAAAGCTGGTTTGTTGTGTAGATATGGCCTGTTTTCCAGATTTCACAGAGTTACTAGCTGACTGACTAGCTGAGTTGATCCATTTCTGGTGTTTTAACACATCGCATGTCCTTTTGAGTGCTGGTTCATTTAGGTACAACATATTTTTTAACGGTTTTAGGCTCGTGTGACTTTTCCTCACCAGGGTTATGACAAAAGGGAAAAAGCTTGGATGTAAAACTCCTCCTGTTGGCATTTCCACCCAGTTAGCACTTTAGCAGCACCCATGTTTTGTAGTGTAGTGTAGTGTAGTGCAACCCAGTGTCCCGACCCCCAGCTTCAGAATTCAGCCTCTTATTATTACGTTGCAGGATGTTTGATTTTATTTTTTTAAACGTCAACACAGCAAATTGTAATCATTTGCAACATGAAGATATGGTGGAATAACAGCAAAAACCTCTTGCGTGCGCTCAGCTTCTGTTGTGTTGTGTTGTGTTGAGGTGTGTTGCGCTGGTGAGGCTACTGAAGCGCTAGCTTTTTGTACACCACGCTGAACAACCGGCGCACGGTTGTCAGCCAGTGACGAGTCACAGGCCTGCTGAGTGTTCATTTTGACCTTATTGCTTTCCAAAGCGACACGGAACACGCCAATGCGAGTTGAATCAACTCAAAACGAGAAGTGTGTTGTTACGCGATTCAGTCCCGGTCAGCGCGGTTTTGACAGCAGGCTGTCCTTCACGCTACTAATCTCACTTTATTTCCTCTCTCATGTACTGTTAACGGTGGAACCTCCAGTTTACCTGTTACCTGTATCGTGCCAACGCGGTTCGCAGTTCTGTACATATAGACATTATTGTGCCTGTATTTGGAGAAGATAATGACGCCCATGGCCACGCTCCATGAGTTGAATGCTACTGACAGTGACTTGTTTGTTGTTCGGTTTGATTTCCAGCCCCTCTGAAAGTAATCTTAAGCACGGTCGGTCGGTCTGGAGTGGAGAGACGGAATAAACTCACATGCAGGGCTGATTGTAAATGTTCAGATTAACATTGCTGTGATTTGGGCACCTCCACCCCTCACCCCCACACTTCCACTCATTGAAATCCAATGAAAACGCCCTGTGCCATCCTCTCAGTCACTTTTTTAAAACGTGCCAGTTACCCGTTTTTTGTCTGGGTACAAATCAAGCTTTTTTCCTACAGGACCAAATGTTCTTTTTATCTCATTGGGGATTTGCCATGGCAATCAGTAATTGCACATGATGAAAGAAAGAGATAATCATTCTAAGTAGTGGGTTATATTTCGTATCGGGGGTCCTGCTGTACTGCCCCTTAAAACACTGTATGATGTTGTGCATTTAAGAGGCTAGCCTTAGTTAATGGACCTATTAACTAGTTGCACAAAATCAAGAAATAAAAAAAATGTTTTCTATTCTTCATTTGTATGTAATGCTTTTCATCTGTTTTGCTCAGTGTCTGTATTCTAACTACGTTTTTTTTTTTTTTATAATGAAATGCTGCTGTTTGTTGAAACGCAAAGTGCCCAAACTATTTTTGTGAATCAATGGTGTGCAATAAATGGACCAGTGTTGTTTCAAAGTTCTAATTTAGTCTTTCAAGTAACAAATGTGTACAAGCATATTAAAAGAATGTATAATTTTGCTTCGATCAAATGTGATGAGGGTGGCTCGTTCAGGCAAGGACCCCATTGTATCTGTGAATCCCGGAACGAGGCTTTGATATCCCACAAATGGTTGTGTTCAGCTCATTTGTGTTTGTTTCAAAAGTTGCATGTTCATATTGTTCTGTAACGTGGAAGAGAGCATGTATGAAGTCAGTGGTGAATTCTGTCTTGGCCTAAATTTAGTCAATGACTTTTCATCCGGTGTAGCTCTGATCTGTTTCAGCATGCCTCCTTTTTTATTTCTGTACATTATCCCTTACTAGGTGTAATGTTCTACAGTATCTTAATTACGTATAGGACATGCCTTTTCAATTTACACTTGATGTTGTATACGTTTTTCCAGTCCACATGGTTTATTTAAAGTGAGGAAAATACAAGAAAATACTCGTAGCTTAACACAATGACATATTTTTTGGTGAGTTTTGTATTCTGGTAGTTGTTTCCTGGCATCTTTGGATATTCTTGTTAAATGTGAGAGCAGTTTAGTCTTGGAGTACGGGGGGCCTTGGTAGTCTTCACTTTGTGACTGTCTGCAGTTTGTGTGTATATATAAATAAATGTACAGTATATACACTTATACTATGTTGCATATTCTTTATACTTTATAGGCTACTTGATTAAACATGCTTTCAGACAGATGGTGTATTTTGTGTCTTTGATACTTTAGTTCAATTGTAGTTTCAAGCAAGTAAAAGAAATTCTAATTAGATGATTATAGATGGTGTTGAGCATCTTATTTGTTAACAGCCACACGTTGAGCTAAAAAAAAACGCAAGAAAAATCTTTCTTTAAGAGGTAATTGTACTCAATCTTTGCTTATTTTCTTCCTTTCAGTCATTCTGACATGCTATGTAAAGGAACTGTTTTATATTAAGAAGAAAATAAAGATAAGATAGCCTGCATCCAAATAGTTGAACAAAACTTTCTGAAAAATAACTGAATAGCAGCAAATTGAAATTTGTATTTCATATATAGATTACATATGTGCATACATTACATATGTGAAAAGATACAAGTGAGGTATTTTGGATAATCTTTCTTATTTCTAGGATCCACCTTAAGACTGGTGGCTTAAACTGAACTGGACCTGGAAGCTACCCAGGTTGAGTATTTACATTTTCCTCACAGGTTACGTAATTTAGTCTCAACCAATGCCTTTGCCTCACACTCCATTTTATATCAACTATGTCTACTGCTTCTGAAAAAAGGCTATTACAAAACATAGCACCGTAATACATTTGTGAATGAATACACAATGCGGTATTTCTAAATTGCTTTGTGTATTTTCCACACACGTTTGTTTAAAAAAAAAGCTGCAGGCAAAAAAACTGGAATGCTCTAACTTCATTGCAACCCCGCTATATAATCAAAAACTATCACTTCATTCCATGTAAACTACTATTACGAGATTAAAAAAAATAAAAACGGTGTTTGCAGATGCATTTATGATTTGTTTATATTTTGGTTCCATCTATTGGACCTGAAGGCTAGAGGCTGGGGAACTATCTGAGGATAGTTATAATGCTGCGCTGAGTCTTCCTGCCAGGAAAAATAAAACACACAGCATGACTAATATGTGTGTCATGCATTCCTAATCAATGGAGGGGTTGAACTCAATGGAATATTCCACATATCACGTCTTTGCCAGATTCATTAGCCTTGGGTATTCGCTGAAAATAATAAGACACTCAGGCTCTGTTCTGGAAGCAGTGACCCAGGGACCTGGGTAACGTTTCTGTCTATACTCAGGAACAAGAGTGACAACTATCTGAAAGACCCTAACTTGGATTCTTTTTCCCTTCTCTTCATACCCACCAATAACTCCCAAAAAATTGGTGATAGATATTAAATTTGAATCCCTATTGATTCTTTCACAATGGGCTGTTTCGATTAACTTTTAATGAATTTCTTAGAACTTTACTCTTTTTTAATTCCTTCCAGTACAGCTCAGAATTTTTGCCTGCTCTCTAGTTTTGGAAAAGTCCCAGTATAGCCAGACATGGAGCGTTCAGCCATCATTCCAGTGTAAATTCCTCCGGATCACGTGATGTCCCACAGTGCTGTAGATGGAAGAAGGAAGGAGAGGTAAACATGTAACATCTGTCCAAAGGCCTGAAGTGATTAACCAGCTGCTCCATCCACACACTTTGTTGTTATTTTTTGCTGCTATTCTCCTTTAGGTGCCCGATCACATTTTAAGAAGCAAAGAAAATCCTACCTTTAGCGAGGGATAACACCATTGTTCACTTAGTTTATCCCTATTTTCCCAACCAGACTCTTTATCACCGTCTAAAAACAGACTTTTCTTGATGAACATCTCCTATTCTGAAGTGTTTCTGTAAGAATAAAACTGTGATTTCAAAGAGAATACTTGTTTTCAACCAGGTCCGTATGAAGCCTTTACATACTGTTAAGTAACAGGAAGTGATATAACTTATTTATACTTACACAAATGTTCCAGATTTTTCCTCCACAGTTTGAATTTCCAAACTTAATCCAGCCAACAGGAGGCCAAGAGTACATTTTCCAGCAGCAACCCAACCAGACGCTTACATAATACAATGAATCTTTAAGCAAGTCTTGGTCAACATACAGTGCGTGAATTCCAAAATCAAACCCCGGGAAGTCAGGTTACTCTCCCTAGGACACACAAGATTCCTATGAAAGGTAAGATAACTCAGCAACAGAAGCCAGCCTGTCATATGCATGACTGGTGTCTACAGGCAGACCACATATATTCCAAAAATAGGTGACACGTATTTATAGCTGGAGATTTATCTATTCTATTCGGCTATACGTGGATACTTTGTTCATATCATGTCATAGGGGAAAGGCTCCAGCCCCCCTTCGACCCAGTTTGGAATATGTTGTATAGAAAATGGATGGATGGATGGGTTCATATAGTCTAAGCCGTTACGCCGTCCTCGAGGTCTGATTTGTTTTTCAGGAAACTTGCACCATATGTTTGAGGGTTTTTACATAAGACGCTGCAAGTAGGATTTCCTCACCGCAGCAGTTCAGAATCCATGCACACAATCCCTCCACACTGGCAGAACCCAAACTATTTTTTCTTGCGACTACCTTCAGTTTTATACATATTTGTGAGTGTGCGTGTGTGTTTATACACAAGAGAGAGAGAAAACGAGGTGAGATTGGCTGATTTGCTCAGCATCTTGTGGCCGTAGAGCTGGACTTTACTGTTGCCATCTGTTCTCTCATCAGCAGGTTCTGGGCTGACTCTCTGACTGCCTGTATACGAAATTTATTTATTTATTTATTTATTTATTCAGGACAGTGCACATTAATGAACAATCTCATACAGATTGTAAATGAGCCATATTCTAGCATAGTTGCTAATTTACATCTGTCGTCCTGAGGCAGGAAGACAAAACAACACAAAATCACATAATACAATATCAGTTAAAACAGAGAGACACACGTTCAGACAATGACATTACAAAATTAAAATTAGTGATTGCATGACTGGGAACTTTTGAGAAACAGTTTAAGGTGCTTTTTAGGACTCTTTGATTGTGTAGGAGTCCACCGCAAACATATACATTAATAGAGCACCACTTGGGTTCAATGTCCCACTGTCCAGTTCCAGTTCCAGAAGCCTCTGCATGATCAGTAATGATGAAACGGAGGTGATGGTCAGTTTTGATAACCCGATGCGAATTCACCAAACTTTATCCTTATATGGATGTGCACAATGATTTTACCAGGGTTAATGGGCAACACATGTATTCACATTTTAACCCTGTAATGCCAAATGCATCATATTTGATACATACGGTTTCTGAAACGTTTTTGCGTCTGACACCTTTTGCATCATTTAATGGTAAAAACTTTGCTCAAAATCCTATTGTACACGTTCAGATATACCTGATAACAGGGGGCGGAAAACTACACAAAAAATAATCTTGACTTATCGCATAGTAATAAATTATTAATATTAAAAATGTATTTTTGTTTTTACTTTTTACATATTTTGTTAAAAGGCCAAATAAAGACTTCAAACTAAAAAAAAAGTCATTTTCTGTTTTGTTTTATTCTTGCATCAGGCTTTAAAGGGTTAAATATCTTAACAAATATTAATATAAATGAAAGATCAGTTCATTTCAAGATAAAAGATCACAAATTGATGACAGTGTGTGTAGCCCATTGTGATGTATCCATGGCAATCGCTCCGGATATCTCGGGATGAAAAATTCCCCTCCGTGTTTCCTGAGGCTCAAAAAATAATCTTGTCTTATCGCATAGTAATAAATTATCAATATTAAAAATGTATTTTTGTTTTTTCTTTTTACATATTTTGTTAAAAGGCCAAATAAAGACATAAAACAAAAAAAAAAGTAATTTTCAGTTTTTTTTTAAATTCTTGGATCAGGCTTTAAAGGGTTAAGGATGAAGATTAATGGACTTGTGTCACGTCTGGGGGAATGTCTGGTGTCTCGTCATGTCTTGATTACCTATTGTGTACACCTGGGGTCCCCTCCCTCATGTGTTTAAATAGTCCTCGTTTCCCATGACCTGTGCCAGTGCGTTTTTGTCCTCGTTTCATCTTTCGTCTCTCCACGTCATGAAAGGTTTTGATTATTTGCCCTTTGCCACAGCCATGTTTTGCCACAGCCTTGCCACAGTTTTGTTAATCTTTATTTTGTTACTTTGCCATAGCCTTGTTTACTCCTTGATATTTCGCCACAGTCTAGCTTTTCGTGCCATGGTCTTATTTTTGTCACAGTCTTGCCATAGCCTTGTTTTGACCACAGCCATGTTAATCTTGTTTGTACTTTTGCCATAGTCTTGTTTTGATACTTTGCCACAGTTTTGTTAACCTTGCTTTGTTACTTTGCTCATAGTTTTGCCACAGCCCTGTTTTTGATCCTTGTCCTGCCATCCACTATCTTGAATGCGTTTTTTTTTGTTACAATAAACCCTGTTTTCTGAATCTCCGCGACTTAGTCCTCCCTCCAAGATCCACCTTCATGACACTTGTAGACTTAGTGTGGCGTGATGTGCTCAGCAACGCAGGTTTGGAGAGATTCAACCAGTTCACAGATATGTTGAAATGCAGTTTTAAGTCGACATGTGGCACATGCTGCAGAAACGACAAGCACGCTTTCACTTTTTCCCTCATTAGCCCATGTCCACGTTGGCTGCATATCATCTCGACATGAAGTTTTCAATTTATATCAGACATAGAGGTCCAGTTTCTGGGGCACACGTGGGATTTCTTTAGGCGACCCAACCGTTCTGAAAAGGCTCCGGAACAGCTTTTCCATTGTTTCTGTTGTGCCATTTTCATTTCGTTTCTGGGGAAGTCATGGAAAAGCCTACCCGACACAAGTGACAGTAAAAAACGCCTGCGACACCTGTGACGTTTCCCAGAAGTCTCTGTGTCAGCCAACGCTTGTCACCAGTTTGTGGAAGCCAGAACCTGCACATGAGCCTCAGGAAACACGGAGGGGAATTTTTCATCCCGAGATATCCGGAGCGATTGCCATGGATACATCACAATGGGCTAACACACACTGTCATCAATTTGTGATCTTTTTATCTTGAAATGAACTGATCTTTCATCTTTATTCATATTTGTTAAGATATTTAACCCTTTAAAGCCTGATCCAAG